AATACTTTTATTCAGCAAGGATGCATTAAACTGATCAAAAGTGACCGTAACAACATTTATAGTATTTCAAAAGATTTCATTTTCAATAAATGTAATTTTTGAATTTTCTATTCATCAAAGAATCCTAAAAGAAAAAAAAAATGTATCACGGTTTCCACAAAAATAGTAAGCAGCACAACTGTTTTCCATAACAAGATAAGATTCCATAACAAGAAATGTTTCTTCAGCAGCAATTCAGCATATCATCATCATGTGACACTAAAGACTGGCTGCTGAAAATTCACCTTTGCTTAACAGGAATAAATTACATTTTAAAATATATTAAAAAAGAAATGTGCTATTGTAATAATATTTCACAATATTACTGTTTTTAATATATTAAATAAATGAAGCCTTAATAAGCATTAATAAGAGACTTCTTTCAAAAACATACCAAAATCTTACAGACCTCAAACTTTTGATAGGTAGCATGTTATTTTATGCTGTTTATTCCTGTTCGTTATTTTCAACTGTATATAAATATTTATGGAAAACCCCAGATGTATATCATATATTGGTGGCAAACTTGACACACATAATAATTGCAATTGCAGTTTTTATCATGTAATATTTACAATAAATATTTAAAACTCTTTATGTAATTAATATCTTTAATATTTACAATGACCATTATCAAAAATATATCTTTTTTTAAATAATTAAATTTGATTATGCTTACTGGCTGATGTTAATAATCTTGAATTAGTGGTCAATTAATTAGCCTAAGTAGGTCATAGAGACCGTGAGTGCATTTACTTTTGGGGAATGCAGCTCTGGTCAATATATTGGTTAATGTCTACTTTCAAAGCAAAAACTTAAAGGTCCACTGCGGGAAAGTTAAATATCCACTAACTCCATCTTTCCTGTCCTCCAGGGGGGCGTTCTCTGAGGTGTTCCTGGCTGAGGAGAAGAAGACCCAGCGACTCGTGGCCATCAAGTGCATCCCTAAGAAAGCATTGGAGGGCAAGGAAAACAGCATTGAGAATGAGATTGCTGTGCTACACAGGTCAGAATTGACTCTCTAATGATTTACAGCATTAAAAAAACAGTCTGGCTAGATAGTCAGGATGCACAGCCGGCGGATCAACCATCTAAACCAGCTGAGGACCAACTTGGCCTTAGACTGGATTAAGCTGTTAATGTTTTATACAGGACAGGATATATTTTTCATGGAGAGAGCCAAACAGAGGAAACCTGTAGTCTGCAGTGTACTGAACTCCTTGATTACAGGGCCAATAGCAGATGACAGCACTGTTTGAGATCAAGCGAAACCATGTCATGATTTGTGTGCAGATATAGGACGGGTGCTGCCGAGAGCTTGACTCTTTGTGAGGTTGTGTTAAAGATAAATGGCAGTCAAGATGTTGAAAGGTGTCTTCCTTTTCCTCTTAAAAGCCAGATTGCTCTTTGAGAGACGAAAAGCTCTTGTAAATGCTATCTGTGCCATAAAAATGTGCTATAGCTTTAGAAATTGTAGAAGTGTGTGCACCGGAAATGTCAAGAGCACTGGAGATCGTCCTATTTTTAGTGACTCTGTTGCCAGGGCAACAGCACACACAGAGGCTGAGATGGTATGGAGGTTCCCTGCAGCAGTATTGTGAAAGAGAGGAAGGAAGGGACCAAAGAGGAGGAATAGGAATAGAATTAAGAGAGAGAGATTCCCACCATTGGTGTGAAAAACTGTAATCAAAGCATGCAAAGCACGAAACCAAAAGAGAGGAAGTCAAATGGAGATGGAGCAAAATGTTATTAATGTTTGATTTGAGTATAGCTGGTGTAGAGAAAGTGCATTAAAAATAGGGAAGGAAGGAAGTAAAGCCATCGTGAATAGAGCGTGAAAAGATCTTTAGAGCAATGCAATAACATTAACACTCATATTACATTTCCTTACAGCAGTCTAGTTATTGTTAACAAAAACGAAAATTATTAAAAATAGTTTTCAGAATTGAAATAAAGCTTAAATTAGATTAGAAAAATTGTAAATTAAATTACATTTTAAATTAAATGTTTCTGCACACTTGGGAAATAAAACTCATTCATGCATTCAATTCATTCATCCAAAAATGTAAATGTAAAAGATTTAAATGAAAAATAGAAATGAAATGAATAAGTTGATGTACTAAAATTGCTAATAAATAAGTTGATGTACTAAAATAGCTAAAACTGAAATAAAATAAGTTACATAAAAAAAA